TCATCATTACCTCTGCGATTTTGATTCAGCCAGGGTTAACGCTCGAGAATCATCATTACCTTTGCGATTATAAATAAGTTTTATAATTTAGTATATACTGTTATAAAGTGAAAACATTTTTGTTGAAGAAAATAAATACCGTTGTTTAAATTCATCTGTCTCAGGTATTTCAGGATTAACAAACATATGATTTACGTCATAAGCATTTGAGATTTGGATCCCACTTATAACCAAAAATAAATCATAAGCTTTTGAGTAATTTATTTTGCCAATCGAGGAATGTATGTCTTGTTACACGAGGCATGGATCTTACTTCCCTATACAAACATAAAACATTATCACTTAGGTTAAACTTTAACGAAATGAAGATATCTAAATAAAAAATCTATACAAAACGATAAATTTACATTTACATCACAAAGGATTAGTTCCATGGACTCCCTTAGTCTTTCATGAAATGTCTCTACGCATGAAGGATTTTGACTTGGATGCGACAGCAGTGTTCCTCGGTTTTATATCGCTCAAGAAAGACAACTGCAAATTATTCGCCATTTTTGTTTTAGGTTTTTGAAGGGATGATAAATATAATGGTTAAGAGATGCTATATTTATAATAGGTAGGGACGATATACAATTAGGTTACGCGAATGTAGGGGAGAATATTTCATATGATTTTTTAAAATATTTCTTTTGAGGAATAAGAAATATTTCTTGAAGATTTTGAATTAGTTAGGAAGTTTAAAGTTTAACAGTTAATGGTAATCCAACTACAGTAAGTTACCAAAATTTATGGAATCTACGATATTGATTGTGGTTAATCTATAACTTGTAGGTAAAACAATTTCTTTATTTTAGTAGGAAGATAATTATAAAAAACCGTATTTGCAATATTTTCTTAACAAAACGTATCTTGTCCATTAAATGTCAACATGAGAGTGATGATATATCTTTTTTGGTTGATATCACTATATGTCGTCTAACTATGGTATATACATACAGGTAAATTTAGTGAGACATGAAAACATATTTCATATATGAAGAAAATCATGAAATGAAGGTCTATAACACAATATAAATGAAAGGAAAGTTTATAAAGTCCATGTATGATGCATGATGCATATACCAAAAAATGTTAACCAAAAAAAGTATAATGTTGGAAATCTATAGATTGAAATCGTGTAATATAAGGTCTATAACACAATATAAATGTATGAAATATAGTATGGTTTATAATTACGGGTAAATTCCGTGAGACATGAAAACATATTTCATATATGAAGATAGATCATGAAATGAAGGTTTATAACACAATATAAATGAAATGAAGGTTTATATAGTCCATGTATGATGTATATACCAAAAAATGTCAACCAAAAAAGTATAGTGTTGGAACTATATAGATTGAAATCATGTAATATAAGGTTTATAACACAATATGACTGTATGAAATATAGTATGGTATATAAATACATGTAAATTTAGTGAGACATGAAAACATATTTCATATATGAAAAAATCATGAAATGAAGGTCTATAACACAATATAAATGAAATGAAGGTTTATAAAGTCCATGTATGATACATATACCAAAAAATGTCAACGAAAAAAGTATAATGTTGGAAATATATAGATTGAAATCGTGTAATATAAGGTGTATAACACAATATAAATGTATGAAATATAGTTTGGAATATGGTTATAAAGTCTATATATGATTTATATACAAAAAGAAAGTCAACTATAAAAGTATAATGCTGAAAATCTATAGATTGAAATCATGTAATATAAGGTGTATAATACAATATAAATGTATGAAATATAATATGGAAAGTCATTATAAAGTCCATATATGATGGATATACCAAATCGTGTAATATAATGTTAGAAATCAATAAATGTATGAAATATAGTATGAAATATAGTATGAAATATGGTTAGAGTAATTAATGAGAGAGATAAAATAATTAATGGGAAAAAATTAATTGTTAGAGTAATTAATGGGAAGAGAGAGATTAAATCGGGTATATGGTTAATGTGATATGATTTGTAATATTCGATATATATATATATATAGATGTAAGACGAAAATAAATTAGCAAAATGTCATTAATGAAGGGTGCACACAACTTCCATCAGTCGATTTTTCAAGGGTGTCTTCACTTTTAATAGTATAGATATAGGGAAGTTTATTCAAATATAAAAAATATTAGGATAATTGACTATAACCATACAATTTTTTTTATTATTAGCATTTTTAAAATACCAAACATGCCATTTTTTAATGTTATAAAAAATGTATTTACAAGAATGCCATTATTTTTCGCTGCCACATAAGCTCGACGCCACGTAGAAATTCGGTTCTATGTTTTCATTAAGTCAGCCGTAAAGTGCTACATACAACGCTACGGCTGCTTTATTGTTACGTTTTGTCTGAATTAATTAAAGCGACTGATTTAAGAGAAATTTTTTGACTTAAGACCATACATCAGTCGCCCAATATGACTGATTTACAGAAAGCTGGCTGAATTATAGGATAACGGCTACGTACACAAGTTACGGCTGACTTATACATCAGCGGTTTGATTCTAGAAAATTTGGCTGAGTTAAAAAGCATCGAACAACTGAATTATTGAAATTGCGGTCGACTAAAGGGACGTTGTGACGACTGGGTTTATATTAGTCAGCCATAGTTGGATGGATTAACAGTAAACTCAGTTTTTTACGGCTGAGTTATTAGCGAAAAATTAATTACTACAATAGATTCGGTTGACGACTGATTTATGTGAAGATACGGCTGACGTATGGTTTTCATTATAATTACGGCTGATTTTTTAGCAAAAGTTTAATTACTGGAATGTATCAATGATTCGGCTGACTTACTGATTAACTGATGTTCCATGTCACCCGCCAGGTCATCAACTTGGATTTGCCATGTCATCCCTAACGGACGAACTTTAGAACTTGTGTTTACTCGACTGTTCATGTTATTCTTCATATTAGTTAGAGTCCCTATTAGTTATCTATCGTCTTCATCTTTCTCAGTTGGTTATTGATCCAGTACTTATTTTTTTTGATAACTGGATTAAGAAAAAGAGATATGTATTCAACGTCGCCAATAGAAGGTGTAGATTTCTTCATTTAGATGAGAAAACAATACATGCAGATTTTGCAAAGTCTACCCTTGATGATTTATTGAATGATTTGAGGGATCATATTCAGCTTAGCTACATGTTCTCGAACAAAGCATTGAAAAGAATGGCGTACGATACTCCACCAATTTACGTGACCAATACTCGAAAATTGCAAAGCTTTCTAAACCAGAAGATAATCGAACAACTATGTCTCTGTGTGGAGATTACGGAGAACAAGGATGACAAATCAAGAGAGAAGAGTAAAACAGTTATCAGTTTTAGATCAGAAGTAGAAGCTTCAAAAGTTGAGTCCAGAGTCGAAAATTACAATGCGAGTTGCGATGGTTGCAGTTTGGAGAAGGAACAAGAGGACAATGATAATGACTGATCTAGTAAGGTGGAAGGAGAAAACACGACAAAGTCGGAGAAGATGAAATAGTCAATGAAAACAATGAAGATGATGAATTGGAAAGCCAATTTGATATGTTTGACGACTCGGACGGTGCGTCATCTGAAGATGATAACTTCAGCTCATACGGTGAGTCTCCTTCAGAAGACGAATATTCACCAACGCTACCTCCCAAGAAGAGATATCAGAACTTCTTGATGAGCGGATCTAAAGAAAATCTGGAGGTTCTAAGCTTGGAGATATCGTCAATAAACCTTGCGGTAGGGAAATGATACGAGAGTAAAGACGCTTTGGAGAGACGACTGAAACTTGTTATAGTGAGGCATCAATTTGATTTTGATGTAGAAATTTCAACCCCGACATCATATGTTGTTAAGTGTTGGGTTGATCGATGTCTCTGGAGAGTTCGGGCTTCTACCCAAGGGAAATCCCCGGTGTTTTATGTTCGTATTTACGATTCAGATCATACATGTTCTGTACTAAATCGTCATAATCGATCTCGACAAGCAACACCGGATATTTTAGGTGAGTTATACAAGAATTTTCTCGGAAACTTTGGTACGGCTGTTCGCCCTATGAGTGTCAGAATAGCTATCTCTAAGCAGTTTGGTGTAAAGGTAATTGCTTCGTCGTGGCTGGTTTATGTTAACGACATACACTGCGGCTGGGTTATTATAATGTTAGATGCGACTTAGTTATAGTAAAGATATGGTTGGTTTATTTTACGTTGTGGCTGTCTTAATTCTATGTTAAAACTAATTTATGTGTATCGTTTTATCATGTGAACAAATAGATTATTGGAAATCACACTGGACACTGAAATTCGCAATGGAAATCGAAGGTTTTGCGATAATATCGGATAGGAAAAGCAATTACAAATGTGTATATGTTAACTTCTCGGGGAATATGCACCTACCCTTTATATAAGAACATATTGGGACGGTACAAAGGAAAAAAATGTATTTCGTTTGGTGAAGAAAGCGGCGAGATGTTTTAGGATGTCTGGCTTTACTGTGATTTACGAGGAGAATGAAGCGATTAATCCTGAACTCCACGGCTACCTCGAAAGCGTTGATCCCTGACTGTGGACGCGTGTTCATTTCCCGGGCGAGAGATACAATTTGATGATCACGAACATAGCGGGATCAATGAACAGAGCATTATCTTCTACTAGAGGTCTTAACATTGTTCGAATATTAGAATCGATGCGGATTATGATGAACATATGGTTTGCTGAACGGGAGAGGATGCCAGATCGCAGCCAACCAAGCTTACGAGTGGTGTGGAGAAACTACTACATGTAAGTCAGTCATAACAGTATACATAAGTCAGCCTTTAATATTAATAAGTCAGCCGCTGTAGTTCGTTAATCAACATTTATATGTAATAAATCAGCCGTTTCATATTTATTCTATATTTTTAATAGGGTCGTGTAACTGCCTAGATTTTCTTAAAAAATATTAGTGATCAACCTTAGTATATTAAAGTCACGTTATATAAAAATAACAAGTGATTATAAAATTACCGGATCGTTGCTTTTTGTATTCAGCAGTTGTTGAATAATTCCAGTCAAACTTTCAACTTGATTTTCCAATGATGTCATCTTCGTCTTCATTTGAACTACTTCAACATTATTAGCCTCAAATCGTGCTGCAGTGCATTGTTTGGCTAATTTTGAAGGTGTAGGTCCTCGACCAACACAACGTACTCTCCCTGAACGTTCCGGACCAAACACTCGAGAATATTCATCATCCAAACAAGCTGTGACGTTGTGTGAGACTTGCGTTGATAAATTTTGAGTCAGTAAAATTGTAAGTTCATCCTGAAAAAAATAACATAAAGATAATAATCAGTTCACTCCTAAGTTACAATATGAACTTATTAACAAGATCGATATTGGACACAATAAAGGCAAAGTATTTATGATAGAAACTAACCGCATGCTTTTTAGCTTTATCAGAAACAAAATTTCCATCAGATTTCTTGCGAGTCATGATGAAAAAATCCGCCTGACATGGTGTTTTTCTAGTTTTGTATTCTTTATTAACAACATAAGCATAATAAATGAATAAAATATCAGTATTTACATATTACACTACATATAGTAACGTAACTTGACATATTTAAAGACTAATAACTTACAATCTGACGTCGTCTCCTAGAAAAACTCCTCCGTCAACATAGATGAGGCATGGTATGTTTGCGTCGGCTTACAGTATTTCGTTCTTGCATTGTCTGCAAACTCAAACTAAAAATTATTATTTATGAAATAATACAAAATATATAATCAGTGTACAAAACTATATCTTCCACTTATCAGTGAATCTCATGAAAACCATATCATGCCATTGATCTTCAGGTACATTAGGGGGACGATTGGCTAACGATTCAGTTCGAGTATTTCGCTTGTAGTCCCTCCAAAGACGTAATTTAAAATCTTTGCATCTGTTTCCTATGACTCCCATCACATAACCTTGTCTTGTATCTGGATTAGGAAACCAAAACTTTGCCTACATAAATTAAAGTAATATTGTTTCAGACATATGACAAGAAACAAGTTGACAATAAAACTCACTAATATTTGTGAAAATATATAACTTAGGTGTTACCTGGATTATTTCCCATGCTCTATCCTTTCTATGAGGGAGAAAGGTTCTCCAGTCACTGTAGTTAATTGGTAATAGGTTTACATCTGTACTCAGTTGACCTAACCATGATCCAAGTAGACCTCCAGAATCTTCATCAGGTTGACCGCTATCTTCATCGAAGTGAACAACAACTTTGCGATTTTGTAGCTTCAAAACATCTGTGGTTGTCAGCATTTGGTCTTCCATGTTCCTATGAGCATTTATTTGATAAAATATTTAGCATAAATATAAAGTTTAATTAAGTTTTGTATTAGAGTAACATATATGGAATAATAGAGGAGTAAAGTTACCTACAACTGAATTTTCCATTTGTAACTTTTGCACTCTTGAGCAAGTGGAGGAGGATAGTTATAAGCCGCCTCCAAATCAGTTAAATCATCAGGAGCTTGTGTCTCAGATTCAGAGAACTCCATCAATCTAATAAAAAAAATGTCTTGATTTAAAATAAATAAAAGTTAGGAAACATAATCAGAAGAATTTCATGTGTAATCGTAAGAACTCAAAATAATGGTTACATTGGTATAATCAGTTCATTAGTCATGGTACAAAGATTATAAATCTTTAATCAATTCCAAAATCATTTAATTGTCAATTCTAGCAAATGAAACAGTAGAACAATAATAAAGATTTTAATCATCGTTACCTTATTTCCAGTCAGTTTTAGATGTACGAGCGTCTGTGTTTCTTTTGGGTCTGCGCCTCTTTTTTTGACTTTTCCTCAAACTTATAAAAATCCTAACTCCAAATAATTTTATGGTAACAACTTATATATAGAAAAAACTTATGCCTAAAAAATAGTATATCCTCCGCCTACGTAATTTGACCAAAAGGTAATCTCGGGTAATAGAGTTTCACTTTTTAAATATATTTTCATGAATGATGCTATAACTAGGTCTGGGTATTCGGATATTCGGTTCGGTTCCGGATAAAAACCATTCGGTTCTGAGTATATTGGATAAATCATTTATATACCCAATAGGTATTTATGAGATTTCGATTTGGTTTCGGTTCAGTTCAAGTTCGGTTTTGGTTCGGTTCTGGGTACCCGCTTAATATATAAATCAAATATATATATATACATAATATATTAGTTAATATGTTAATTTAAATGATCTATTATATTAGTTAATATTTATTGTATTTTAATATCAAAATAATATATATATTTATAAATAATATATATATTTATAAAAAATATATATAAATCAAATATATATACATTCTTATAAAAAAATATATAAAAAATATACATATATAATATATTAGTTAATATGTTAATTTAAATGATCTATTACATGCTTACATATTATATTAGTTAATATCAAAATAATATATTTATATATATATTTATAATATAAGAGAATAAATTAAACGTAATGTGGTCTGGTGGTAAAAATGAACTTACTCTTTATATTCAACATGGGTTCAAGTGGGCTTGGTGTCCTTTTATCTTATATTAAAAAAAATAATTTTTTTTGGGGGATATTCGAGAACCCGTTCGGTTCTCAGTTCGGTTCCGGTTTTGGTTCAGTTTTTCGAGTATAAAAATATAGGAACCATTTAGATATTTAAGAATTTCTGTCTAGTTTGGGTTTCAGGTATTTCGGTTCAGTTTCGTTTGGTTCGGTTCTTGTTTTTTTGCCCAGACGCAGCAGTACTCTTGAAAATGAATTAAATTATTGTTTAAAAAATAAATTAAAATAAATGAATCAGTTGTAAATTATTTTTTCAGATATTCGAGAACCCGTTCGGTTCCGGTTTTGGTTCATTTTTTGGGTATAAAAATATAGGAACCATTTAGATATTTAAGAATTTCGGTCTGGTTTCAGTTTCAGGTATTTCAGTTCGGTTCTGGTTCGATATTTCGGTTCTTGTTTTTTTGCCCAGACGCAGCAGTACTCTTGAAAATGAATTAAATTATTGTTTAAAAATAAATTAAATGAATCAGTTGTAAATTATTTTTTCGGATATTCGAGAACCCGTTCGGTTCCGGTTCTGGTTCATTTTTTTGGGCATAAAAATATAGGAACCAATTAGATATTTAAGAATTTCGGTCTGGTTTCGGTTTAAGGTATTTCGGTTCGGTTCCTGTTTGTTTTTTTGGTTCTTGTTTTTTTGCCCAGGGCTAGCTATTACTTCGCAACAGTACTCTTGAAAATGAATTAAATTATTGTTTAAAAAATAAATTAAAATAAATGAATCAGTTGTAATCATTATACTAAAAATTCAATTGCAATATTTGTAATATAAAACACACATAATCCATTGCAAATACAACTCAAATATGAAAAATATCTTAAGTGAAATTCTGAAAGTCAAATCTAGTTCAAAGAAAAACAGAATATTATGCTAAGAATACTAATAAATCAACTATCATTGCCGTTTTCAGTGTTTCCATTCTGGTTTTCATCATCTTCATTCTTTCTTCCCTGTAAAAATAAAAACCCAGTGAATTATCTACTAACAAAACAATTCAGAAAAATTTAAAGGTTTTGTGATATTTTACCTGAGGCACAACGGATTAAGGATGCATAATGCGAAAATTTGTCCGATGTAAACAAGTGTTGCAGGGATTTCTTGTTCTTATTATGTCTGGGTTATGGGTTTTAATGTTCCTCCATTACGGCTGGGTTACTTATTTTAAAATTTGAATTCATGGCTGGATTATTGATTTTGATGTTTTTGTAGTACGTATTGAATTTTGTTTTCATGTATTTCTATTACGTCTGGATTAGTGATTTTCATGTATTTGAATTACGGTTGATTTTTGAGAAATATCACGTCTTGGTATTAGTTTCAGCTGTATTTTTACACGCCAACATAATGGCGGCATAATTAGCCAGTTACAGATGAGCAAAACATCGAAAAACTCAACCGACGGAACTTAATAGTCCCTACTTAATTTTCCCTTTTTAAAAATATGAAACTTGCTAATTAAATTACTCTTTATGGCTGAGATTAAATTACTCAATTTCCAGCTCTCTCTTTCAAATGCAATTGTTAAAATTTCGGCCAAGAATACGAAACATCGCGCAGTCAATTTTGGCTGAGTTAGTATGATAAATAGCTGAGTTACTGAAGTCAATAAGTTACTTCACAATTATCTTCCAACTCTCTTTTTATTACACAATTGATGTCTCTATCTACATCAATTTCAAGGATCTGAGAGTAAATGGAATATTTTCCTCTACTTGAATTGCCTAAAGAAATTTAGGCGATGGTGGTTAAACGTGTGGCCCGTAACTCTTTCCAATATCTCTTTGGCCTCAAAGCATCGTCCAAGTCGAGGAAGGCGTTAGCAGAGCGGCGTACGGTATACCATTTTTACGATGTGTTATATGTTTCCTGGAGACTCAATAAGCATTATGCATTCTTGAAAACGTGCTACGATGAGAGAAATCCAAGCACACATTTATATAAAGGGTTTACAATTTTTATTTTCATTCAAACTTAAAGAAGAAGGGATTTCTCTCATGAAGCATGCAGCAGAAGCATGATATGAGTGTGATGTGTATACACACGCAATGACTCGAGCAATCTTTTGGTGTGATGCGCAGTATTTTGCTAGTATTCCAAGAGAATCAGTTGACATGATCGAGAAACTAGTGCGATCTTTGAAATGGGATGGGATTTGTGGAATTCTGATGACTTCTGCCAACATAAGGCCCTGTTCATGTCAGCTTTTCTTCGGTTGTTCTACAAATTCCAATGTGCAAATACTGTGGCGAGACAATGTCTTTGCTTGTGGCACATTGATGTTACTAAGGATGACAACATGTGTGACCACTGTTTTTAGATCAAAGAGATTGGCATGTTCTTCCGTGATTTTGAACCGACATGCCTGTTTAGGGACACAAGGATGTGGTGAAGATGTACTGTATCAGAATCTTATTTTTTTATGTTCTTTGCTATGCCATTATGTATGTAGAACAAAAAATTAATGTAGATTAGCTTTTGACCCGCGCGCCCGCGCGGGTGTATGTTCATGTTTCTAATATTTAATAATATCATAAACATATTTGTATATGTTGTAGTTATATATTCAGTTTTTTTTTGACAAAGTTGTGTACCGGTCGATGTGTTTTGCGATCATTTATAAACTAATCGATTATGTTTTCTTATATATAGTACTTTTATTGATTCCAATATAGGGGTGTTCAATCTAGATATAGGTTCGATTTCAGTTTGATTTTTTTTTTGGTATTTGGTATTTCGGTTTATGAAATTTAGTTACCATATTAATATCATATCTACTTTAGTTTGGTTTGGTTTATATACCAGTGGTTTTTGTTTTTGTGATTTTATACCAGTAACCATAACTATATTTATCTTTTATGATAAATTATAGTAGTTTTTATGATTAGAAATCAGATTTATTATAAAATAATATATATATATATATATATATATATATATATATATATATATATCCCATATTCTAATTTAAGAGAATATTTTTTTTTTCATTTTTAATATTAAAATATAAATAAGAAAAATATTAATGTCATAATATTATTAAATAACTATATTTTAGCACAAATATTGATCAATAAAAATATGTTTTATTTAATTTTCTTCAATCTATAAGTTTCTAATTTAGAAAATTCTTTAAAAATTAATAAAATCAGGAAATATGAATATCACATTAGCACATAATCATGTATATATTATTTTATTATAAAATTTGGATATAAGTATCTAACATATTTTAATTAATTGGTTTCTTCACTTTATATATCGACCCATATCCATATACCATGGTTTCTTAAAATTAACATCCGGTTTATTAGGTACTACTAAATCCAAACAATTTTCTCTATTTCGGTTCCATTTGGTTTTAATTGGTGAGGTTTTATTGGATTGAATACCCTAAGATTGTAGTCATCCTTTTACTAAAATTATAATATTAAATGTATTCATTTATAATATACTTTTTGGCACTTTTATATTGATAATTTTTAAACCTATGCTTAATAAATATACATTTAATTCTAATTGATTTGAAAGAGAATATCATGATTGATTATCTAACGATAAGCTCTGTGAATCCCCTTTAATAAAAAAATATAGCATAATTTGTTTTGATTTTGTATGGTAATATCTTAACGACACCCTATCAAATATATCATAGGTTTGATTTGGAATAGTTATGTGGTTAGGATCTGGGCTATCTAAAATTATAATATGAGCCCAGACTCATTTCATTTAATTTCAAACGTAAACCCTAAACTTATTGAGCTTAAATGACTGAGTTTAATGCAGTGGCATGGATATGTAATTTTTGAGGAAAAATCAGGGTTCTTTTATTTTTGTACTTCAGTTTTAATATTTTAGATGAGACTGAGTTATCGTTTCTTTTTGGCTGAGTTATTGTTTCTTGTTGGCTGAGTTATTGTTTCTTTTTGTTGATTTATAGTTTAATTGTGGCTGATTTACACAAAAACAATTAATTCTAAATATAATAGAGGTCTCGGTAATGAATACAACCGTAACTAGGACTCCTAAAAAAAGGCGTCATAATTAGTCAGCTGACTTACATCCAAATAATAGTTTATTCGGTTTGATAGAAATAACGTTTCGAAACTGCTCCATGCGTATTAATTTTCATCTTAACTTTCCTTCCCCAAATACAAAATATCTTGATTTATACAACTATATACGACTGAGGTATTGCGATAAGGCTGTGTTACCAAATTACAAACATCTTGAGTAAATGGAATATTTCCCGATTCTGGAAACGCCTGAAGAAATCCATGAGTTAGTGGTTGAGCGTGTGGCCGCTAACTCCTTCAGTTCATCTAACTTAGGTCTCATCCCAAGCGGCACCTTCAACTCCTCCCAAAACTCTTTGTATTGATCAGATTCAAAACTTTCTGTTGGCAATGGACATGTGTTTAACCCAGTGATCTCACCAAACTCGAGCAAGCTAAATTTGATAGCCTCACAACCACGAGACACCATATCTCCTTCTTTTTTACTCGGAACTGTCAACATAGTAGATAGTGTACGGTCCTACCAGACCATATGCTTTCACGTTCAGCTAGCCTAGCAACTACTCCAATGGGAGAGTTCACCAGTTCTTCCCACACATCATGTCCTATTGTTTCTCTAACATGTGGGAAATATCCTGGACGGTAATTGTGACTAATATCTTTACCTTCTAGGTTAGAATACCCTTCAGGACAAAGTCTTGGCGGGTAATCCCGTGAATTAACATCAGCAACAACCATCTGATCATATAGACCAACAATAAATCAGCCACAACATAACAATAACAGAGCCACAACATAACAATAACACAGCCATAACATAATAATAACTCCTCAACATAATAAAAATAATTCAGCCATACACATCAATAACTCAGCCACAACATACCAGTAACTCAGCCACAACTTAACATTAACTTAGTCACAAGCTATCGATGAATCAGCCATAACATAACAATTATTCAGTCATAACATAACCCTAACTCAGTCGCAGCAAAACCCTAACTCAGACGCAACAAAACCCTCAACAAACCCATATCACAGCCGCAACATAACTCTGTCTCAGTCGCAACATAACTCTGTCTCAGTCGCAACAAAATATAGAACTCAAATGAAATCTAATATATAACTGACCCAGAAACTCATCCAAAGCACAATATATAACATCGCAACATCCTACCGGAAAATATGAACTCGTATATAAGAATGCGGCGAAGATGATTTTGTAATGGACGACTGAAGACGAAGATTTCGGGGAAGACGATATCAGAGAAGATACAGTTCAACGACAAAGAGTTAGTTCGAAGAAAAAAAAGTAAACACAATGTCGACGAGGATTTCTGAGAATGGGAGTATCCTTGCGGTACTTTCTCGGAGACGATAAATGTTCTTCGTTTCTTTTTTTTAAATTCCTATGTAGAACGAGAGAAAAGAGATGGTTTGATTTCGGTTTTGCTGTTTTGTATTGTTAAGTAGTGATGTGGATTTATAAATTAAAATAATTTCAATTACAAAAAGATAACCAAAGGCCTTTATTGTTATTTACTAGGGATATCCAAATATTCTAATTATTTTAAAAAGATGTTACACACTCTAGTAATAACCCAAATTTTTTTTATACATTCTATTAATTTTCTCTTTAATATACTGCAACTTTGTAAGACAAAGGGAAACGCCTATATTAAACAACTGAAGATATGCAGGATAGTATAAAAAGATCATTAATATATTAATGAAAATGCCTTTATTATTTAATTATTACATTTCAAATTAATGTCATAACATACAAAATAAAAATTAAATAAAATTCCAAAAAATCCACCTTTAACAAATAGAAAAATATATAACTATCGTCATGATTTCATTCCATTTATTGTCAATCATGAATTAGAAAATATAGACATATCTGAAAAGGACAAATTGTCATGTATATAGAATTTTGATAGATTACTTCTGTAATGATTTTGTTAACATGGTATCAAACCCATTGATTATTTAAAATTAAGTTTAACCAAAGATATCAGATAAAACAAATGCTTTTGTTAATGATATAGGAACTGATTTTTAAAAATAAAAAACGAAAAAAATGAATCCTACTATATATTAAATGAGAAACTACTTTAGTAAGTTTTGCTTATGTGTCATTCATAGGTGAAGTTTAGATTTAATTCTCTTAATTTGATTGGTTGTTGATATTTGAATTTTTATTTACTTAATTAAAGTTTTTAAAAAAAAAACTAATAATAGAATTACCTTATCTAACTATCTTACCAAATAAACAACTAAACATCTTAAATATAAACAAACTAACATAATTTATTCATTGAAGCAATTTATTATCATAGATTACATTATATGAATTATTTAAATATAAACGGATATTTGAAAATCTTAGTCTCCCCGACAAAAATGATGATCCAAAAATATTTAAATATGTATGTGTATACCAAAATATTTTTTTACGTATTACTATAAGTGTAAACTAATTAGTTTTAGGTGTTTATAAAATATTTAAAAAAATTAAGAAAGGAAGATAAATATAAATGATAAGTTCTAAATTTATTAATGTCGAAAATGCAAAATAAAACGTAAATTAAATTTAAAATAAAATTATTTTAAAATAATGATAAGCATTTTCGGTATAAGAATTTTTTAAAATGTATGATAACAAAGTTTTAACAAAATTTATACAAACAGAAACATGTTATTTTGATATATTTATGTCTAATGACATCACATTATTTAAAAATTTAGATATTTTAATATATATAATTAGTTAATGAAATACAGTAAATCAGATTTAGTTAAAATAGGTGTGTATTGAAGTAATTTAAAAATAATAATATTTTTAAAAAAATATTTATTTTCTAATGAAAGTCTTGGTTAAATAAATCAATATTTGATAAGATAGTGTGAAAATTTGAGAGAAATTAATAATGAATTTGTTTGGTTAACTTGTTGTGAGTTCAATTGTGAGTTTTACGTTAAAAGCTAAATAAAAAAATAGGTGAGTGAGGGTTATGATCATGATGGATATGAGAGTGAAATAAGTGAGAGACTGAATGTAAGTGAGATAGATCATGAAATCATTTATTAATATTGTATGAAAGTGTTTTGAAGATTCAACAAAATCTGGTAAAAATTTTGTACAAAAAAAACAGAAAAAATTTAAAAGTAAAATATTGAGGGTTATAATAAAGATGGGGTAAAAGAGCGAATATAAATGATTGTGAGAGAGTGAATGTAAGTTTGAAAGATTTTGAGATTATTTAATCAAAAGAGAAAAGGAAAAAAGGAAAACAAACGAAAGAGGTATAAGGATAGACAAAAAGAACGGGAAGAGAGATACAAAAGAGACAAATGAGTGTGTGTGGAAAAGAAAAACAAGAAAAAACGAAAGGAATAAGATAGAAAGATATACAAAGAATAACGGAATACCTACATAGAAGTGAAAGAGAGTTAGAATACATTTATATATTCGTATCAATTTTTATGCTATGTATAATTATATTAATGTCCGCACAGGCATATAGGCCGTCCACCTAGTATATAATTAAATAAAAAACATTATATTGATAATACTCTTCGGATCTTAAATTTTGGTTTCCATAAATATTTTTTTTTGTCCCAGCATTGCGAAGACTCGAGGTTTACACTGCCATGAATTAACTTATTAGTCTCCATCTAACTAATAAACTTAGAACATGGTTTTTCACTTATTAATTCATCAAATTCGTTGGAATCGCGAAACATATATTATCAAATTGGTCAGATTTTAGAGGTACAAAAAAAGTAAATTCCATAGAGAAAATAATACAGAAAAACTCACAGACCCCAACATACAAAAACTTGACAGTTTTTTTGTTTTGAAGATGATCCATGCTGGAATGTGTAAAAAAACTTCAGAGAAAATAAAATATTGTAAAATTTAAAGAGCTATAACAAAGATGAATACGAAACATATATGAAATACCCTTTTTTAATTGACGACACATATTCAGACGGTTGCATATTGTCACTCTTTTTTGAGTCGGCGATGCAAAGTTTATAGTTGTACAAGACACACACACATATATATCCCGTAGAACTCCGATAGAAATAAATCTAGAGTTTTAAGTTTTTAATCAGCCATGTCATCTTATTCACAAGTTATATCCTCTATTTTATTGTATCATGTCATCTTTTATTTGTGAAATTAATTTTAAAGATGACACATAAGTAAAATTACAAAATTACTTGGCAAATAATATATAAGAAATATATATATATATATAAATTGGTTTGGTTTTGCTTTACTTCAATCTAATTTACAAATGGCATGGTTCATGTGGGCAGGTGTACCACTGGCTTCCATGTAATAAATTAATAATATAGCTTGACCTTTTCGGTTTAGGGTCGGGGGATGCTAAACCGGGTTCGAAACTCAAAACCGATTTAAGAAAGGTGAGATAAGTGGGGTCCAGAAAGTTTGTTACAGTGGCAAAAACGTCATTCGAGATTCAAAAATTTCGAAAATTTAGCTGTCTCCTCCGCGGGTATATACTCACTACTACGAAGGCGATTCAGAGCTAAAAACAAATATTTGAATCTTTTATTTCTTAACAAACAATCGACTAGTGAGAGAGAGAGTGAGGATGCAGACGAGATCGGGAGCTATTATAGGGAAGAGGAAAGCACATGAGGGAGACGACAATGGCAGAGGGAAGAAGAGACGATCGGTGGAGAGCGACGAACCGAAGAACTCTCCTCAGATAGATAGCGAGAAGAGAAGATTGGCTCCGAAGAGGACGATCCTCAGAGGAATCCGTGGATGCGTATCTCCTCGATGCTCTGCTTCTACTAACCGCTCCAGCTTCTCATGGTATGGTCCTTCTTCCCCGATTCGATTTGATGAACGTAACTGATCTTCACGAATAGTTAGCTGTATATCTAGGATATAGAATCGATCGATCATCTTCGGTAGCTTCTGGAATTGAATGAAACCTCTGAATCGATTGGATTGTATGAGAACATCGATTTTGTTCGTTACTGTGTGTGTGGTTGCTGGTTTAGCTAATCCGATTTCGAATCAGGATCATTAGATCTCTAAATCTCTGCTTAGATTCCTGAGTCTGTTGTTACGAATTTCTCTGCGGAATCAGGTTTGAGCAAGATGCATGGACATACATTTCGAGGTTTTTGGATGGAAAATCACTGGTGATGCTGGGAGCAACAAGCAAATGGTTTAACAAGATCGTGATGGAGGATGCTGTTTGGAGGTTTGCTTGCTTGCGTGATCTTCAGGTGCCAAAGCCGTTTCCAGTTTCTTCAAGCTGGATTAAGATCTATGCTTCAGCTTTTGGTAAGTTACGAATAAGATTGTTTAGTATCAAAACAATGGTGAACTAAGAAAGGAGATGATGCAGATGGGAGGAGTCACTCTTACTTGTTCCATCAGCAGGAAAAGCATATTGGTCAGTCACTCAATTTGTTAATATAATGTCAAGCCATATACTGTATAGATGTTTGACTTTCAAGTCACTTCATTTGCTGATCACTGCATCTCGTTTTACAGATTGGATGCGAATTGGTGCCTTTACTCTTGACTCTCGAGTGTCACTCCTGACTGAGAGGTTGAGTTGTCCGCTAAAAGTTCCAAGGGAAGGAACCATAGAACGGATGCTCGAATCCAGTGGTTCATGTATTGTTAAAGACATCAAAACCGGTATTTGGATTGCAGGTAAGAAATTATTTTCTTCTGCAACTTGTTCACAAACCAAAAAGATGTAACTTGGATTATCTTATTTGCAGATTTACAGCTTGTTCGGTGCCCTGTATGTGACCTCAGTACCTGTGATGGTAAAAGTGGTACATTAGTCTCTGCAGTACCTAAAATTGCAACTAAGAGTTTTCTGTAAACTGTGTAGGAACAATGCAAACACTGGATGCTAGGCACATTGAACTGTTCCTGAACGAAGAATACAAAAATGGAAGTTGGGAACACAATCTTATTGCGTCTCATAAGTTGCAGAAAGACGCAGATGCAGCTTGTGGAGCCATATTCGATCTCAAACACCTTGAAGCTTCTTCATCAGGTAAGTTAAAAGCTCTTATCTTACGTTTCTTTTCACCTCTTTAAATCTTTGACTCTACTTCACACCTTGTCATGAAATGAAACCTTAACAGGTATTCTTAACCTCAAGTCTTGGACCGGAGCTCCAGATGATTCCCAACCCAAAGCAATAATCGCACCTCACGCAGTAGCTGTTCACACAAGATTACAAGAAAACGAAGGTATATACTTGTTCATAGACTCAGCACAATCAAACCATCTTGTAACAAAAAGAAGAAAAGATATCCAGTAATTCTTATACGTATCTAAAACTGCAGGAATCGTTGTGAAGTATCACACGATGAAGGCAGGAACGGATGGTGACATAGTTTCCATCAGAATCTCCCAGCAGCTACTCTGAGTTCCTGATCACAATGTGTTATCTCTCACTCACACAAGACCCTCTTTAACTATCTCTGGTATGCAGATCCTTTTCCTCTTCCGTAAATGAAACTCTACATTAGCTCTTTATTATATAGTTTACATCTTTACAGTATATTTTGCAAGAATAGTCTGAGAGACTACTATTGAACTTGTTCTATACAAAAAAAACACGCACCAATGATCAATGTTTCTGTTACGCTATAAGTCTATTCCTCTTTACTATAATCAATGTTTACGCTGATTCTTTATAGTATTTAGCAATAATTATCTGAAATACTTAATAATATCATTTTATGAAAAGCACCATATATAAGTGTTTACAAGTCTCTTAGTGCCAAACTTGTAAACACCCTTACATATCATTTTATATCTACTGTTCTTTGACTTTTCCATATTATATGTAAGTGCTTACAAGTCTCTTAGTGCCAAACCACATCATGACATTCTCAAAACAACTTATCATCTCTATGTTCCTCTTCTGCTTGCCTCTCCTAAATGCGTCACAAGAAAACCGTTGCTACAGTTCCTCATGTGGAAACAGAAACGTCGAAGTTCGTTTCCCTTTTTGGCTATTCGCCAAACAGTATTCAACCTGTGGCCACACAGGATTCAACCTCCTCTGCACCGATCGCCACGAGACAGCCTTAAAGCTTCCGAACACGGAACTATTCCTCGTCCGAGATATCGACTACGAAAAGCAGCAAATCCGCCTCAACAACATGGCCAGACGACTCCTCAGCTTCGACGCTTCAGGATCTCTTTTCTCTCCTCTCCACTTTCTCAACTACACCATCTTGACCTGTCCTAACGAGGACATCAGATACTCCTCTCATTACAAACCCATCTGTTGTCGTGGTAATTCAACGTCATCCTTCTTCGCCACTCCTTTTGACCTCGCGACTTCGATGCCGTCCTCTTGTCAAATCGGCGAGAAATTACTCCTTCCTGTTTCTTCACGATTCGTCGTTGACCTCAACGATCAAAACCTCAGGCTGAGATGGGACTCGCCGAGTGGCAGAGATTATGAAAGTAGTCGTTCGTTAAGTGGGTTCAATAACAATACCACTCTCAAAGTCAAATGGTGCAGCTCCTTAAAATCTGGTAGGTAACCCAATTTCTTCTCTCAATTTTTATCATTCAATCCAAGATGACAAGTTTCAAGTTTGGGGTCAAGCTTCAAATCCAATGAATCATCGTTGACTTAGCCTCCTGGAAATGGTTATTATCTTTTCAGAAGCACAATTTAAAAATAACATTTGATGTGGAACACTGCATTTTTACAACTATTTGGGTAATTCATTAGAAATATTTCCGAAAACATCTTGTAATCCTTGATCATTAATAAAAGAACTATAGTTGGCAAATAAACTAGGTACCCAATTAAAACCGGGGACAATTCACACTTTAGAGCATCATTATCGGTTAGGTCTCTCAAATCCAATTTCTCAATTAATTATATTATTATTTTTGCACAGTTTTCTTTTATAATTAAATTTTATCCTTTTAAAAAGTTTTGTGCCACTAATCAGATGACAAGTAGAGAACACAGCTCATCTACAAAATTCAGGAAGTTGTTCGCAGAGAGTCGTTTTCTCTCTTCTTTCTACTTTTTTCCTTTTTCCTTTTTCATTTAAACTCTTTTAAAATATTTAATAGTTGAGAAATGGTGCAAGAGACTACCTTTGCACCTGCTCTTAGAATTTTTCCTGAATTTATGATACTGTTCAAACACCATCCATGAATGCTCATGTTATTAAAAAAACTGTATGCTTATGTTTCAATTGCAATAGAATCTCTATAAATTAATATTAGAAGTTTAAAATTTTATTAATGTATAACGATATTAATTTACAAAAATTTATTTGTTTAGATTTCTTATTTTAAGATATATTATTTCTATGATAATTAAAATATTTGGTTTTCATGTATAGACATGAATTATTATTTTCAAAAATTTGACATTTATATTAATTTTATTCTATTGTTTGGTGTATATAATATATATTTCATAGAATCTAAATGCCACTATAGATATAATATTTCTAAATCTTATCAAAGATATGTTAAGTGTTAAGAAAATATAAAGATAATTCTATTATCAATATAAAATAAATAATATAATGCTAGATTCTTACTTAAATAAAATATATATACATATAAGTTATCAATTTATAATTTTAATGAGACTATAGTTTTATATATAATTTTCTAGAAAAATATTATTTTATTATTTTATCCATTTATGTCAAATTTTGATATGGTTCAAGTTGAAACCAAAAAAATTATTAATTTATTGAGGTTCTCCTTGTACATCGTAATCCACTTGATAAATGCTCCATTAAAAGTATGTTTTGTCCAAATTGATAAAGACATAATATTTTATTGGAATAAACATGAGAACATAGTATATTACTCAAATTGATGAGTGTCCACGCACATACTTTTTCTTTGAATTCAAATATTTAATTTATGGATTAACTTACGGATGATGTATATTGATAAAATAGATCAATATATAAATTATAAAATACTAAACCTAATTAATATTTATATTATTTATTGCGGATGAAGGTCATTTTTTTATTTTGTGGGTTATTAATCAAATTAAAAATAATTATCAAATAAAAACTGGTTTGAACGAATGTATTAACTTAATTCTATTATAAAATATTAAAAATAAATTTCGTTTATTCGAGTCAGATTAAAGAATATATTAATTTATTAAACATGAAAATTATAATTCAATGTGATTATGCCTATTTTATCAAAACATTATATATTATAGCTTATTTAAATTATTATTATGCATTAAAGCTTGAATGAAAACCTAACAAAAATGTAAGCAAAATTTGAAGAATGTATTGAAAATTATTTTTGACAAGCCCAAAATGATAAGTATATTATACATCATAAATAAAGATTCAGATTTACTCATAAATTTAGGTGATAAATAAATAAAATAACAACTACTACAACTCTTTCTGTTTTGCAAAAAAAAAAATGTCATTTTAATATATTTCACGCAACAACCAAGTAAGAAAATGATAAGATATACTAATATCCTATTATTTAATACACAGTTATTTAAATAAACTTATTTAAATAAAATCTATTGGTTAGTTAAAAGGAGAAGAAAGAAATTATGTATGAAAAGTTGCATTAAAAATATAGAATAACACTTTTTGAAACAAGAAAAAATGTTATAATGACATTTTCTTTAAAAAGAAGAGGGAATACTATTATTTATGTTTTAAATTTATAATTTTGGATTTAAAAACTAAAAATGAATAAGTAATATATAAAAGGAAAATTCTAATTTTACCTCAAATTTGATGTCACTTTTCAGATTTACTTTTAAATGATAATCATTTTAATAAATACTTTTATGTCTATTATGAAAAAAGATTAAATTAATCCTCCTAAATCATTTATAAATGTTTAAGAATTATTTATAATAGTTTATAAACCCAACCACACCCCTTATACACTAAACTCTAAACAATAAGCACTAAAAGCTAAACCCAAGTATTAAAGTATTTTTGTATTTCTGAAAAGTGGTATTCAACTTAGTGTATTTAAGCAATTTTTCTACATAAAATCATAAATGACGTGTTACAAAAAAAATCATAAGTAAATCTATATTGATAATTTATAAAGAAATAACTGAATAATAATGTTATTTAAAAATATGATGTAGAATCAAAATTCAAACATATATTATAAGGATTAATACAGTTCCAAAGTTAAAGTTAAAAAAATATCTGCCCGAATAAAACTCTAGTGTTCTTATTAAATAACAAAACATATAATAGGGTAGATCATGTCATCGACTTTTGCTTTAACCAAAACATCTCTAAAATTCAAATACAACATGCGAAAAAAGGATTATTTACATTGGATTCCCGCAACGAGGTGAAACCACATTCTATCTTTTGTATCAAACCGTAAATCTAATTCATCTGAATAATGAATACATTTAACTTTGAACAGCGTATATATACTAAAACTGTTTTTCACACTTCCTTTTTAAAACACAGGACTTTACAACTTCATTGTACTAATACTGAAGTTGATCTCTCTCTCCCTAATGACCCTACTCTTCGGAATAACTACTTGTGTGATATATGTCACGTTCAGTTTTGAGTGGCTCCCTATTCAGATACGACGATCATTGGGACGTCATGCTCGCAAGCCACCTAGAGGTCGTGCTAGGTCTGCGATTGTTGGAGTGTACAAAAAAGTGATAGTAGAGAAAAATATGAAGTTCCCAGGGAGAAATGACAACATATGTTCTATTTGTTTATCAGAATATGCGAGCAGTGAAACAATTGGGTGCTTATTAATATGTGAACACTGCTTTCACGTTGAATGCATCGATACGTGGCTCCAGTTGCATAGCTCTTGCCCGATTTGTCGAAACAGTCTCTCCATAAGGTAAAGTTTGTGACTAGTTGATGTTTGTATACGATTGATTGGAAAGAGTAAATAATTAGGTTTCATATTTACCTATGCATGATAACATATTGCAATCACTTTTAATATTATGTAACCCTTATAGAGAATATTAATCATAGTGTCCTCCCAGGGCAGGCCCAAAAAATATTTAGGTCTTATGCTGTGTTCAAAATTTTGCTAACTGTAATTCTGAAAATTAGGGCTCTAGTTGCATGTATATATCTGTGTGTTGATGAATTAGGACCTTAATTATTTGAAGTAAATTGAAAAAATATTGGGCCATGTGGATATGCACTTGGAACATTTGCTCAAAATTGCTACTTTTAATAATAATAATTTTCGGTTTCATAATGTGTAATTTATAATGTTTTTGGAACTTTTTAATTAATATTTCAGTATGTAAAATGTTTTCATATTTCTAGGTAATTAAAATTTCCGCGCTTTCAAGCGCGGGTCAAAATCTAGTAATTTTATTAAAACTGTGTAGCAAATAATATTTATAGACTATTTTATGATTGAATAGTTTTTAATTTATATCTTAATGATATATTTTTTAGACAACATTAACCTTTTGAAATGTTTAAAACATTATACATTGTGGAACAGAGGGAATATATTTTAGGCTTATTATTAAAATTTCATCTTTGCCCTACAATTTATCTACAATGCAACATACTGAAAGCCAACACATGATTAACATGCTATTCAAAAAAGTTAGTTTTCTTTGGAAAAAGGCAATTCAAATTAAAAAAATAACATAAAACATACAAAATATGGTTTTACAACTATAAAATTTATGAAAGTATGATGAGACAAACCTCATAATCAGCCAGACAATAGCTTAAAGGAAAAAAGAAAGTTATGGCGCATAAGCTTAGTGAAACAAGAGAAGGGAGGAGATAAACAAGAGGGAGTTGGGAAGTATCCGCAGCTTTGACAACCTTGTTTATTACCCTTCCCTTGTATCGTGGTGCAGTCCATATCATGATATTTTGGAAATGGTTTGATTGTCCTTCCACCTCTTGACATGATAAGGTTTGCTGCAACATCACTCAGACACCCATATCCATCATTTTGCTCATCTGGTTGATCAGTTTAGTTGTAAAAGGGGCTGCCATGTGTAGGTGAATGCATAAAGACCAATGAATCGTCCCATAACCTCTATTTCATTAGATCATGATAATGATTTTAACACCTATTTTATTTTTAACACCCATTTTTTCTCTTTTTAATATTTCAAATCATCTTTTCTCTCTTCCACCTAATTTATTCAACAGCCACTTCATTTTTAACTTCTATAATAGTTTGTTTAAAAATTTCAACATCCTACCCCCATTACTTTTAATTCATTTTTTATTTATATATTTACCTTACTATTTTAAAAGAATACTAAAATAAATACTATTAAAACAATTTAATTAAGAACATCTTCTTTTTTAAATTAAATATTTACCTAATTTGTTTTTCCAAAATACCAAACATAACATTATTAGAACAACTAAAATTAAGAAACTTTAAATACACACGATATAAGGATTATTATTCGGATTCATTTAACCAAAAAACTTAAATTTTGATATAATTATTTTTATAAGTTTTATTATATAATAAACATGTTTGAATTATTCAGTGAGGATAAAAAAAAAAGAAATCTGCACAATCAATGAGAACATAACTTTTAAATAAGGATTATCATTTATCCAATCATGAAACAACACGTGACTATGCTGGACCAAAAAAATAATTCTAACACTTGAAATTTTCCAATGGTTGTTGAATCCATGTAGATAGCCACACTATTTCAACTCCTTCATTGTAGAGTACTAGATGGCTTCCTGCACCATGTGCAGAAAGAAAAATTTTAAAAATAAATTTATATTTAAAAATAAAATTTAATTAATTTTTAAATTTATTATTTTATTGCAATATTAATTTTACATTAATTATATGTAAAATTAAAAGAAAATAAACAGTTTTATTTAAATATATGACAGTTCTCTCAAATAGGATTTTTTAGGTTTTTTCACAAAAATAGATCTTAAAACTAAAATGACCAAAACAGTATTTTTTATTTTCAAAATTTCAAGTTTTTTAAAAAAAAATTTGTAATCTTATCCCCAAAATCCCACTCCTCAACTTTAAACAAAAAAGTTTACAATTAGTTAACCCAAAGGATATAAGTGTATATTTACTTATTCTTGATAAAACATTTAAGTCTATCTTGGTCATTTTTATTTTAAGGTCTATATTTGTGATTAAAATTTTTTTAGGTCTATCTTAAATTTTTTTCTTAAATTTATATTTAATAATATATATGTATCTTTTATCTTTTGGTTAAATTATATTAAATCAGAAAATTTTGTTAGATATATAATTATCAAAATATAAAACTAAATAATATTTCTAAAATTTATAGATGTTATAAATAAAGCTAATGGTATTGGGATTAGAAAATTTTAATTTTAGAAAATACTGCATAAAATTTTGAAAAAAAAAATTTATTAATAAAAATAGATAATTAAAAATACACTTAAAATATTTCAATATTTGTAATATTATTATATTTATATTTCTACTATTATATTATTTATTATCTTAATGATAATTTATGAGTTCTTTTTCTTATCACTATTTTAATACAAATTTTTGTTTAATCAAACATAAAAAGTAATATAAAAATATTTTTGTTAATTTTAAATTATATTTAATAATATGCATGTATATATTTAAAATTATAATCTTAGATAAAATTTTTAATCTATTTATTTTAATTAAATATATTAAATAAATTTGTAGAAAATTTTATAATTATCAAAAATTAAAATTAGACAATATTTATTAAATTTTTAAATATATAAGAAATTAATAATTTTAGGATTAAATTTTAATAATTTTCAAAAATGTATACCTTTTTGAAATTTTTGTAATCAAATTTTATAGTTTTAAAATATATAATTAAATGATTTTTTCGAAATTTTTAATGCCATATTGGTATATATTTATTTTAATGATGATTTATTAGTTATTACCATATTTTAAAAATATTTCCAAAAATATAAATCGACTTTAAATGTAATATATGAGTTATTACCATATTTTAAAAATATTTCCAAAAATATAAATCGACATTAAATGTAATATATGAGTTTTTACCGTATTCTATAAAGTTTTCCAAAGATATATACTAACATTAAATGCAATTGTTCATGTCATATTTAATCATATGTCATGTCATCAATTCTAGTAAACATGTCATCGTTTTTTTGTGAAACTGATTCTAGAGAGGACATGTGGCAAAATCACTTCACAAATAATGTATACGGGATTAAGCAGTTAAAACCCAATTCAACACCCCCTTGGTCTTAGACTCTTAGTGGGTTCCAAACTTTACATAGTAAATTCAATCTTGTCTTTTTTCAGCTGAAGCCAAACTCACTTCTGGACTTCCTACTTGTACCCTCATAGCCACATTGAACGAAGCTTGTTCCCTTTCAATTTTAACCCAGGTGTCCACGTCCACATCTGTCACATATACTCGGAATCCACGTATACTCAAAAGAGGTTGTTGTTTTTCGATTATAGATAACATGTAGCTTTCATTTTGTATATATTTATAATGAAAAAGGTATGTACTGTTTTACAACATTTTTATTAACTCTAAGTCGTGTCTCCCAAGAAATAAAAGCAAACGCATAAACAGAAGAAGAGATTCCATTTATTATATACACAACTCAACGAGACATCGACCGTCAATTTCCCTTTACTAGGCGCGTGTCATGATCTCCTCAGTAGCCGTCAGACTCCAGTCACTGATTGAAGAGTTTGGTTCTGCTGACGTCAGCACCGACCAATCAGTACTCCTCCTCTGTCTCCTCAGTTTCCTAACGATGAGCTTCGTGTGCTGTCTGATAACTCCGTTCACGGCTTTGACGTAGTTTTTGGAGTCGTGGTCTCTCAACACCGAACCTTCTGAGCCATATGCTGCGCGTTGGCTCAGCGTTTCGAGCGGGTGTGGGCGGTTTAGGAACCCACGCAACGCTGCGGGAGAATAACCCTCGTTGTTCTTGTCTAACACGTAGAGAGCGTTTCCCGGCGGTAGCCAAGGATGCGTCGGTGAGACACTCTCACTTGGCTGTAGAATAAATACTTTCCCCATTGGTGAATACAATAGTTTCTGCAAAGACCACAAAACACAACCAAGCACTGCTAGTTAACATCAGTGCGTACTTTGTTTTATATAAGGCAGAGAAAGTTTTACTTCTAAAAAAGGTCAACTAGATGGTAATAAACGAAACAATTTCTCTACGACGATTAGTTTTAAATCTGTCAAAATTTAGATTGCCCATTAGCCGTTAATTTTATAATTAAAAGCAACTACTTACCGTTTGAAGATTAGTTTTACCCATGCGAAAATTCAATTTGTTGCGTTTGTGTTTAGATTTTTAGAAAAGCTTCTTCCTAAGTTATTACTCAACATGCAAACGCAAAACGAAATATAAGCCTAAAAAGTGACGACTTACGTTTTTGTTGAGACAAGGATGTGTACGGAACGATCCGTTCAGACGTTTGAGGACGAGAGCAACATGGTCAGGATAATTACACGAGAAAGCTCGTGGGACAATATCTCTATGCATCATCACACAGTGAACATGACTCTCGTCAAGACCAAGCTCCTCTAGAATCTTCTCACCACCACAAAACACAAAAGGTGAACCAAAGGTGACCACAGGTTTCATTGCTTCTGACCTAACGAGTCCTCTACTTAGAAGCATTAGATTCACTATTAACGAGAGACTGCCTCCAAGAGAATGACCTGAAAACTGAAACTTAGCTTTATCTCCATATAGAGACAAATGTTCGGTTATTTCAGGTAAGAACTGTTCGTATATTCCTTTTGCTGCCTCGTAGATTCCTCTGTGGACTAAAACATCTGTGTCCTACAAAATTAATATTTGCTATCATAAGATCTCTTAACACAAAACGGGGTTTGCAAGGCCGGTCATGATAATATTCTTGAGGTTTGAAACAATTACCAAACATATATTTTTTATCAAATGATATATGCAAATTAAACACTAATATTTTGGGACTATAGACGAATGTTTCATCTCACCTATTATGCAGAAACCGACTCTGCCAGAAATGAATAAATGAAACAATAGCCGAATGTTCATAGAATCTAGATCATGATCTTACCTCAAATTTAGCTGGCTCAAAGAAGAGGTTTGCTTTCCAAGAAGCTAAAGAATCAGAACCCTACAAACCATTGACATTAGTTAACACATCAAATATCATAACATAAGAAACATAGGATTTGTGTAACAAAAAAAGGAGAATACAGAGGATTTAACTGTAGTTGTCAAAATTTAGAAACTGTCTTTGAGAATAATTTACCTGAATAACAAAGCACCGAGTGTATGAGTTTGGATCGTCACACACAAACCACTCACAAGGAGAAGACTGTAGCGACTGCAACTCCCTTGCCGCTTCTAGCTTCTCCTCCTCACCCGCAGCAACCACCGCGGTCATCGTAGACGCAGCCGCCTGAGCCGCAGCCGCTGATTTATATGGGTTGTTCAAGTCTGAAGAATCATACTCTTTGCACGAGTGAATGTATGAAGCAGCTGAAGCAGCAATATTGTAAGCAGAAGATGAAGATGATCGTTGTTGAGGCTTCTCATATTCTGATTCAGTCGATGTAATAACAGGGACCCGTGTCGAATCTTGCTCGAGTTTCTCTCTAAGTAATGCTGCTTTAGCTTTCTTCTCTAGTGACGATGTAACAAACTTTAACCCGTAGTTTCTTCTCAAATCCTCAGCCTTGATCTCAGGTATCGTGTAAGCCACGTTACACAAATAAGCTAACTGAGAAAGCTGTTTAGCATCAGACCAAGAAACTTTCAGAAGCAACTTAGAAAACGTTTCACGTTCCCATTCACCGTTTCCGTAATCCGCGACACAACCTTCCCCATCTTCGCAACCACACGTAACGTTTCCATGTTCCGACACAACATCACCGTTTACATTCTCTGTTCTTGTCTCTTTCTTCCACTGTCTCCTTATCTCAAGCAACCTCTGGACCCAGTTCGCTTTCTTGGCTCCATCAAGATTCGGCTCAGCCTCAGGCTCATCACTATCTTTCTCGTCCTGAGACGTGTCCGTTTCGAATAATAGTGATTTTATTGGAGTCGGGATTATAGAGCTCGATATTTGAAATGAGAACACTCCTACAGATCGGCTGCTTTTCATTCCCTGACCAGGGCGTACAGACACAGCACGTATCCTGTTGTTACAACACAAGTGATTGTCTGAACTCGATCTACGTATTCCACCACCTTTCACAACGAGATCTTGACCAGACAACGATCTACGGAGGCCAAAATGTTCTTTGAAAACGTCGTTGGCCGCAGCCGCTGGAGATGGAGACGCCATAGCCGCATTAAACGCCATTCTTTTATGAACAAAACTCCAACTATAGCAATCAAGACAAGACAAAAACAAAATTAAACTGTGTAACCGTTCTTACTAGTTTTTATTTTTGGTCTTTTCATTAACCATATGTAGTATCGAATCGTTGACTATCTCCTAACATTATGTAACGTTTTTGGTTGGCCAAAAATAGAAATGTTTTGATTAGTTTGACCAGAGTCAACTAGGGCATTTTACAAATGGAATGTGTTGTTATGGACCTATTTTAGGTAACCACCATCCAGCTATTAAAGAAGAAGTACCAAGTTATTAATTTCAATATACACCTACGAACCAACTAACCTTTGCTTATGTCTCTCTTTAATAGTTGGACTGGGTCCATCGTACATAGTTCCACATGCGCCACGTACGATGTGCTCATCGTATTATCATTTTTTTCATTACAATAAAGATCGATCAAGAAGAAAAATTTGTCTAGTTTTTTTAGATTTTATATATTGTTCTATCTACCTTTTGGCTTGTTATAATATATTAATAAATTACGGCGAAAATTACCTGGAAAGTTTTTGTTTATTCGAGTACAGTTTCTTATAAAAATGACGAGAAGATTAAAAAAATTGTTTGAAATTTTGAAAAAGAAAATAGACAAAAGCATAATATGTATGTTGTTCATTGATTTATGGAGTTTTTCACGGATTTTCACGAGAATAGTTTGGAAGAAACAAAAAAAAAAGATATTGAGGAAACACAATAGTCTCGAGATGCGCGTTACCTGGTTTCTTAATTAGTGTTGATAGATGATGTGATCTATCATAGATCGATAGCAAACAACAATGGAGGATCAATGCAGCGTTACGAACCGTCGGATCAGACGGAGTGGATCATCATCAAACTATCGAGATCAAGAAAGTCGCCATTCTCTAGAAGAGACGAAATGAAACAGATCTTTGATAATTAACACACCAAACAGAAAAAAAAACGAGGCGGAGATACCAATATAGGTAATGGCAGAGAGATGGAGATATAAATACGTAAGCTGAATCTTAAACGAGAAGGTTACAAAGAGTCAGACCAGATTCTGAAACTTGTTCTTGTTCTGTAATAAAAAGATTCATGAATCTCTATCTCTCTCTTTCACAAATGTAGATGCAAGCCTGGTTTATATATACGTGAAAAAAGACAAAAGAACAGAGAGAGGAATCAAGTCACGTGGAGGGAAGGAGAAAAGCCAAGTAGGACGTAAATGACCTCGTTGTGGTCTTTTATTTACAGATCAGAAAACTCGTGGTGGTTGGAGAGTAGTTAGCCATTCTTCTTGTTTAATTAACGAGAAATTTTTGGTAAATGTGGTTATGAAAAACAGGTACTACACAATCTCTGCTGATTTCGTATATTCTCGAATTTAGAGCATGTTTATTGCTATAATCTTTAAAAGATCTCTTAAGTGGGGCCATAATGAAAAGAAAATTAAATGGCCAGAGAAAAGAGAACAAGAAAGAGAGAGAGACAGAAACAAAACATGAAAAAACAAGGGAGAAAGATAGAAGGAACGTTCCTTCTGGAGCTTAATAAAAGTACGTCCTTTCACTTTTCTTCATTTTCTCTTTTCTTTTAATTACAAAATATACTAAGGAACCCATTTAAGCTATTGCAATAAACATGGTCTTATACTTCACAAGTTTCATCGTTTCTTTAAACTTTTAGTCAAACCTCAAAAATCTAAACAAAATCGATAGACCTTGAAAGAAATTAGTAGCCACGGCCCACGGGTATTTCCGTCATAAACAGGACCAAAGCGTGCGTGAGAGATGAAAATATCTTATTGTCCACAGATGAAGAAAGGGTAAAAACGTCATTGCACTAGAGAGAGTAAACGACCATGACGAGCCAAATGTTCGGTTGCATGAAGCAAAGAGCGTGAGCGATCACCACATTTCGTCTCCCAGGTGGTGGCAACCACACAGCCGCCTTTTGTTTCCCGCCGGGTTTCAATTTTCCTCTATGTTTTTTGTTGGTTTAAGTCAGTGCGTTTCTGCCAAAGAGTAACTAGCTTGTCAGCTTTCACCGCAAGCCCCCACGTGTTCTGCTAATGGCCCTCCGTTTCACTTTCACGGACTTCTTCATAGAGTGGACTTTTTAATTCTCCCAAACATTACCAATGCCCATCGTTTTATTGGGTTTCAATCGAGAGAAGGCCTTTGTGGGATTCTGATCAGGTCCAAACCAAATAGAGTCTCAAGCCAATATTACTCTGCAACTGTTTTCTTTGATGGTCCTACGAAGATTGATTAAATTGACTAATTAAAAAAAAAAATTACCTTTTAATAGTAAAAACTAAAGACCAGTCTGATAATGGGCCTGCAGTTGGAGCCCAAACGAATGACAAAAGACAGAACTTGAAGCCCACGAAACAGAGTTTGTCCTGTTCTGCTGCAGTGTTGAAGTCACAGCTTTAGCGTGATGGTTGTATCTCAAGGCCAGCTCACAATCTCGTTACAACGAATAGATTCGATTGCTTGACCAGCTGTGCGGTCATGTGCTGATGTTTGACTGGAATGATAAGATCTAGGAGTTGTATATATTCACGTGTAATGTCTCATTTGTAGTCAAGTCGAAAAACATTTGAAATAAAGCAAAACTTGTTCTTCTTCAATACGTTTACTGTTGTGCTCTTTATGGTATCAGAGCCATGGAAAAGCCTTTAGAAACCTTGTCTACACCATCTCTGAGTATTACTCAGTGTGTTACTCTGAAGCTCAAGTCCTCGAACTATCTTCTCTGGAAGACGCAGTTCGAGTCTTTCCTTTCCAGTCAGTCACTACTAGGCTTTCTCAATGGATCTACGGTGCGGCCACAGCCAACTGTCACTTCAAGAAACAGAGATGTTGTCATGGAAGAAGCAAATCTAGAGTTTGCTCGTTGGATGCGCAAAGATCAGTTGGTGATGGCATGGCTGTTTGGCTCGTTGTCTGAGGAGGCGCTCTGCTCTGTCTATGGTATGCACTCAGCTCAGGAGGTATGGATGAGTCTGGGTCAGAAATACAACCTTGTTTCAGCTACACGCAAGCTCGATCTTCAAAGAAAACTTCAAGGTATGTCTAAAGGTCAGAAGTCAATGACAGAGTACCTAGGAGATTTCAAAGGAGTTTGTGATCAGTTAGACTCTATAGGTTGTCCTGTTAGTGAACAAGAGATGATTTATGGAGCTCTGAGTGGTTTGGGGAAAGAGTATGAGTCCATAAGTACGGTTATTGAGCTCTCAATGGACTCTACTCAGCAGATGAGTTTTGAAGATGTGGTTTTTAAACTCGTTGCCTTTGATGCTAAGTTACAAGTTTACACTCAGACAACATAAGCTACTCCTCACTTGGCTTTTCATACCGGTCGTGGTTCATATCCAAGAGGTCGAGGAAGAGGAGGTTACAGAGGCAGAGGCAACTACTCCACAAGAGGGAGAGGTTTTCAACAGCAGTTTGCAGGAGGTTCTGGTTCCAAAAACAATACAAGGCCAATATGTCAGATCTGTGGAAGGTTTGGTCATATTGCTAATAAGTGTTACAACAGGTTTGACCAGAACTATCAGTCTCCGGATTCTGTGCACACTGCACTCTCCACCATGAAGCTCTCAGACCACGAACAGACAACGGGTCATGACTGGTATCCTGATTCTGCAGCCTCTGCTCACATCACCAACAATGCAGCTCAGTTTCAGTCATCCGAGGCGTATCTAGGTAATGACCAAGTGATAGTTGGTAACGGTGATTATTTACCTATCACTCATGTTGGATCTCTTTCTCTGCAAACATCTCAAGGTACTTTGCATTTAAAAGATGTTCTGATATGTCATGGAATCACAAAGTCTCTTTTGTCTGTATCAAAGTTAACTGTTGATTATCCTTGTGAGTTTACATTCGATGCTGATTCTGTATGTGTTAAGGACAAAGCAACAAGGAAGGTGATAACACAAGGAATCAAGCATAAAGACCTGTATGTGCTGAAGGACACGAGATTTCAAGCTTTCTACTCCACTAGGCAGCAAGCTACAAGTGATGTTGTATGGCATAAACGACTGGGTCATACACACAAGGATGTTCTTCAGAAACTATCTCGAAGTTCAGCCATTGTAATGAATAAAACAAGCTCCAGTCTGTGCTGTGATGCTTGCTCTTTAGGAAAAAGTTCCAGACTTCCGTTTTTAGATTCAGATTCTGTTTCACATCATCCTTTGCAGAGGATTCATTGTGACTTGTGGGGATCTAGTCCTGTTGTGTCCTCACATGGGTTCAAATATTATGTGATCTTTGTAGACAATTATTCAAGATTCACATGGTTTTATCCCTTGAAGCTCAAGTCTGATTTCTTCTCTGTGTTTGTTCGCTTTTAAAATCTTGTCGAAAATCAGTACAAACACAAGATTGGTCAGTTTCAGTGTGATGGAGGCGGTGAGTTTGTCAGTCACAAGTTTCTTACTCACCTTGCAGCTCATGGGATCAAGCAGTTAATCTCATGTCCTCACACACCTCAGCAGAATGGTCTTGCTGAGAGAAAACATCGCCACATAACAGAGGTAGGAACTACATTGATGTTTGAAAGTAAAGTGCCACAAAAGTTATGGGTTGAGGCTTTCTTCACGGCTACGTTTCTTGGAAACCTGGTTCCTTCGTCTGTTCTTGAAGACCACAAGAGTCCGTAAGATACATTGAATGAGAAAGCTCCAGTTTATACATCACTGCGTGTGTTTGGCTGTAAGTGCTATCCATACCTAAGGCCATACATGCAGAACAAACTGGACCCAAAGTCTCTGGTTTGTGTCTTTCTGGGGTACAATGAGAAATACAAGGGGTATCGATGTTTGTATCCACCAACAGGAACGGTGTATATCTCCAGACATGTTCTTTTCAATGAGAGTCAGTATCCATTTGCAGAGATCTACAGCTCTTTTCATCCCCCAACCGATTCCACCTTGTTGAAATCTTGGCGTTTGGTCAATCTTCAGTCTGCTCTGAAGACAGATGACTCTAATGTTTCGTCCTTAGTCCCTGAAGATCTACCTGCGCGGTTCATTGTGACAAACACACCTACACCAGCTCACAATTTTCAGAGTCCTGAGTCATCTCCCTCAAATGAAGCCGATGAGTATCAAGAGAATGCTGAGAATGACTCTGGCCAATCCAGTTCTAATGATGAAGCTGACGTTCAACCTGTTCCGGTTTCTCATCCTATGAAGACTAGAGCACGTGTTGGCATTGTCAAACCGAACCCAAGATATGCTTTAGTCACGGTCAAGACTGATCATCCAGAACCACAGAGTGTTAAAGCAGCTCTCAAGGATCCAGGTTGGACAGCAGAAATGTGGGAAGAAGTTAACAACATGATAAAGACTGATACGTTTGAGTTGGTTCCACCTGAAGATGGACAGAATCCGTTGAACTGTGGTTGGATTTACAAAAGGAAACTCAATGCTCAAGGTGAGCTTCTTAAACTCCGAGCTCGATTAGTGGCCAAAGGTAATGAACAAGAAGAGGGACTAGATTTCTTGGAAACATTCAGTCCAGTGGTTTGTACGGCTACTATTCGAACCATTTTACATGTTGCAGTTACTAAGAAATGGCAAAGTAAGCAGTTGGATGTGCAAAACGCTTTTCTGCACGGAGATCTCAAAGAGAATGTGTTTATGAGACAACCGCCTGGCTTTGAAGATGCAGCTAAATCTGATCATGTTTGGAAGTTGAAGAAGGCAGTGTATGGTTTAAAACAGGCACCACGTGCGTGGTTTGACAAGTTTAGCAATTTTCTTCTTCAGTTTGGGTTTGAGTGCAGCTTCCCGGATCCTTCACTGTTTATCTATCATCAAGGTACTGACGTGATTTACCTTCTGTTGTATGTTGATGATATGATTCTGACTGGCAACAATGACATTTTGTTGGCTAAGTTGTTGGAGCAACTGTCGTCTGTGTTCATAATGAAGGATATGGGTGTGCTACATTATTTTCTTGGTATCCAAGTGCATCAATGTGAAGGCGGTTTGTTTCTGAATTAGTCTAAATATGCTCAAGATCTGTTGGTTAATGCAGGCATGAGAGATTGTGCACCAATGCCA